CAGGGTTGAGATTGGACTTGGTCAATTTCATTTCTGCTCTCAAAATGCCAGAAAGTGAAATTTACAAGCATTATTCAGGGTATGAATCAAAGTTGCCAAAGTTCACTCAGGGATCGCTGCAGACATTTGTCTCCCTCTGTCTTCAGATCGGAGGCTTAAATTGGCTTTGTTTTGAAGCAGATACTGTCAGGAATATAAAAATCTACATTGCCTGGGATGCAGGGCCATCAATATCCTTTATTCCTCTGCCCTTTACTGCTGCCTAATGATGCTGCGGTACCCTGTGCGGTGTAACGGATAGCCTAGGACTCAGGGAACTTGGACTCCAATCCCTGCTCAGCCATGGAAACTCACAGCTAGTGGGTTGTGAAACTGCTTCTTAAATATCTCACATACCTGGAAAGCCCTATTAGGGCTGCTCAAAGACAGCTGCAACTTGATAGCACGTAACAAAAAAACACTTTACGCTGGAATCACTCTCATCCAGCACCTGGTCCTGGGGTTGTCCCCATTAATACTAGAGAGCTACGCTTTGGAAATCCAAGACGTCTTGGTTTCATTTTTGTCCGAATAAGTCCATCAACACTGTATTTAATATTATCAGTGCTGGGGGGCGGGGAGGAACAGACAGATAGGTAGAGCTGGGCGTCTTGGTTCTCTGTAGTCACTACATAGCAGAGGTCCTTAGGACTCTTTCTCCTCTCTCTCTCCCCCCCCCTTCTCCAAAGAAATAGCTTTGGCCCTTTGTTCTCCTGCTTCTGCCCTGGGGGTGGTTCCTCTATAGGGGTTTGCACACAAAGAAGGCAGTTCTAACAGCTCTGGTACTGAAGCCTAGGTTTTATTCTATTTTATCCCAAACTGATTTTTTTTTTTTTGGAACAACACATGTGTGTTTTTCCTCTTTATCTTGCTGTGGGCATCCTGAGTGATGGCTCTTGAATTCACAACCACAAGCTCCTCTTAGTAGCCTGCTGCACTCTGCTAACATCATTACCATAAATCTCAACGATGTAAGGGTTGGGTGGTTCCTTATGGTCACTGGCCCAGGCCATTTTAAATCATTAGGCAACACTTCAAATTCTGCACCACTGTTATTCCGCTGTTGATTCCCTACCTGTGTCAAAGGTTACCTTTCTTGCATCGCCCAAACTATTCATGTACAAATAACGGTCTTTCAAAAAATAAAAGCCTTTGGCCTTCCATTTCATCCACATTGGGGCACGAAGGCAAAGACACCTTTCAGTGTTCAGGCAGCCTGTAAAGATTCTCGGAAGAGTGCCTGCTTTTATGAGTGCCACATATTGCATTCCAAAGTGACTGGAAGCATAATCAATACTGTCTCTCCCCCAAAAGAATAAGACACGATGCTAAAGTCACACAAGGGCAAATGGCTTGTCCAGACCTCACAGGAATAATCCTGGTAGTAAATGAGCAAAGCAGCTCCCTACCCCAAAGGGGGCAAACAGCAGATGAACAGCAACAGACAGAAAAAGAGGTGGGAAAGGCATACATACAACCACACATGCATGCACACACAGAGAGAGAGTTCTCTTTCTCAGGAGGGAGGGAATTATGTGGCAGGATGAGCAGCAATTTATACATTATCAACATAGAGCATCATTGCAAGCCATGTATACCATCATACATGGCATGATTTAAGGCACATCCAGTACAACAAATAGCTTAGGGACGCCTGTCCCACTTTTGAATGCATTCCACACATGTTTTCTGACACCAAGTGTAAATTCTGATAGTCACACTTTTTTTTTTTACAAATCCAGAAGAGGAAAACACGACTGCAATGGAATGCCTGGAATGATGACAACTGTGGGTTCAACTTACCCATTCACTCCGCTCGCTCGGGAGAATGTCACTCACCTGTCCTCACTAGGGCCTAGGGACATTTCATCCACTCAGCCAGCATGGAGATTTGGTAGGGGTTGGGGTGCAGGTCTTAGGCTCCGATGCACCTCAGAGCCCAATTTCACAACTCTGCTAGCTCATTGTTAGCAGTGGGACTGCTTTAAATGCTGAAAGACTACATTTGCCATAGCCCTGTGCTTTTTTCAGCTCATTTATTTTGCAAATCACTTTGCTTTGTTTTGTGACTGGTTGGCCATGCTAAGGGAAGGTTGTTGGTTGGACAGCTCAATGGTTTAGGTATCTGGCTGGTAAGCAAGTGTTTGATTCCCCACTGGGACTCTAAGAAGTAGAGCCAGCCTGCATGGCTCTTGGGCAAGCTGCACAGTCCCACGGCAACCCCAGAAAAAGGGAAGGGTGAACCACTCTCTGCTTGGAAACCCCTGAAACAAGGTTGCCATCAATCAGAATTGACTTGACAGTACAGTACATGAATCTTATATGTTAAGGGAAATAGAGCTTTAAAAGTTACAAAACGGATTGCTCCAAGCACACAGTTCTCAGAGAATCATGCCACTGAAGAATTTACATGCTTTCAGCTTCTACAAAGCCAGCATTTTGTGTAATGTGATCATCAGTCACACAGTAGATACTATCTGATACCATGCCTCTGTGTACACATCTCTTACTTGAGCACATCCAAACCTATATTGTGGTATCCTCCCTTATCTAAGTTTGGAGTGGACAGACCTTGTGGGCAGTGTGTAAGAGTTGGATCATATAGTATATCCCACCTATGGTGAGAGCTTAAAGATGCACCTTGCCATGTACACATTTTAAAACAGAGAGGACGGAATCCTCTTACTTACGCCTGCCAGCGTAAGTGTATTGGTGTAAATCTCAGAGGCAAATGGCCCACTAGTTAAGAAGTCAGCATAGGCATTTGCTATCATATACCAATCATGTGACTTAGTGCATGCAAACTAACATCAGTGTATTTTTTCAGATGGATTCTGGCTGGGTACTCAGTTTACTGACCTTGGAAGAACAGAGGGCTGAGTCAACTTTAAGCTGGTTATCTGAACCTGCTGGGAATGAACTCTTGGCTGTGAGCAGAGTCTTGCCTGTAGTACTGCAGTTTAATTCATGTGCCCATGAATTGCCACATTCATATGTTCATAGCCTCTTGAAAGTGACATGCCAGCAATGGGTGGAACCAAAGCCAGAACTTAGTAGAATTAAAGCCAAATTCTCCATTGCTTTCTCTGCAGCCACCCCAAGAATTAGGGGGAAATGCAGTAATTAACTCACATGTTAGATGATGAAAGGCATTAGTTATGTCTTCATGACCACTCACGTAACTCCTGGCCCCCCACAGTAGAGGACAGGACTCTGTGGGACACTCAGCCTGTTCTGTGCCGTCAAAACAAATCTGATATGGGTCCAGCACCAGCACTGTACTCCTTTGGTTCATGTCTGCACATAGAATGGTGGACATCTTGTCCTTTGCCTCAACCACCAAAACCTCTAGGGCAGCAATGCTTTGCCTTCTGTTGTTGCCTCTCTCCTCCATCATGAGAAGCAAACAGAAAGAACAGGGTTGCCTTCCCTCTTGGGCTGGGACTATAATTCGGAAGTGGGGAGGGGAGGCAGGAGTGCAAGGCACATGTTTTGCAAGTCAGCTATCTCAAATGTGATCAGTCAGAATAAAGAATAAGAGGCCAGATGGACAAACAATTTGTCATGGTATAAAGGTACCCTTCTATGCAAGTCTTGCGTATTTCAGAAGCATTCCAAAAGCATGCACTGTGCGTTTGTAACGACAACGACAACAAAAGATTCATGGATAATTCAGGATGTGTGCACTTAACGCATAGGCTTCCCTTATATCTGACCTGTGAGGTATTCAGAGATCCATTACAGCAGACACTTACTTTCTATCATCTTTGTAGCCTGCCGTTATCTTCAGCAGGCCCATTTCATAGCATTGCCTTCTTGGCCTGTATTAGTCCTTCTGCAAATTCAAAATCAATATCAATTTGCAGGAGCTCTTCATACTACTTAAACACTTGCTACTTAAGTGGCCTTGAATATTTCAGTCCTTCTTATTGTGATTAAGTACGGCATTGTCTGGGCTTCAAGCACCCAACCTGATGAACCATTTGCCAAGACCAGAATGAAAGAAAAATGAAAATACTTTTCCCAGCGAAAGGCTACCGGTTTCATTTATTTTAGGGCAAGCCGAATGCTCCAAGTTGCTTTCACATCAGCAGAAGACATGTCTGTGCCAAAGATGAACTGTGTTGTGTTTTAATTACCAGACAGCAAAGCCAGAGATACAGAGCACCTGTACAGTACTTTTAATTCTTGTGAGGGAGAATTTCAGTCACTGCATGACAAGTGCCATCTTCCAGAATTCCCTCTGGTTCTGAGGTGGGCAATATACAGTCCCTCAATTATTTTTTTAAAAAAATTCCCTATAACTCTGGCAATTTCAAACCAGTGGCTCTGTTGGCAAGCATCCATAATAGCTAATCATCATCATGACAATGTGCTCTCAAGTCAATTCTGATTTAACAATATACTTAAACCACTGATCTATCCAGTCAGGTCTCATGATAGTTACAATCCAAAAATACCTGGGGGGCCTCACATTACACATTCCTACTCCCCTGCAACTGCTACTGCCCTTCCCCACATTACACCCCTTCACAACCTGAGCCGAGAACCCCCCCCGAGCTTTGCAAATCAAATATTAGTGCACGTTCTGAAGGTAAACATGTTTTAATGTCTGCATTTTCCTCTTTTGGACCTGAAGGCAATTTATTTTCTGCAGATAAAGGAATATGGAACTCTTTCCCATTTGGCCTTTTGCTATCTATAACTTCATCCTTTCTCCTCTTTTGTTTAGTTAATGTATTTGTGCAGTGATTCCCCCTCCCACACTTCCTGGAAATCATGAAGCACATTCTGGACTAATCTAGGTCACAGGGTAAGGCTGCCAACTTTATTTTTCCCTTGGCAGGTTCCCATAAGCCTCACAGATGTAAGATCCAAAGGCAGGTCTGCAAACAAGGCTTTCTCCCCTTGCCATTGACTCCTTGGTGCTCCTTATATAACCACTATCCCACAGCTCTCACCTTTGCTTCGTAACAAATCTGACCATGAGCCCAGGACTGCAAGCTTTTCCCCTGGGGGGGAAGAAGCTACATGCCTTTAACCGCAGCAGAAATTCTGCAATACTAGGCTGAGAAATACACCTGAGGGACATTTCCATGCCACGCAGTTGTTAAAGGCACAGAGCCTCTGTCAGGGCAGGAAGGAATGGGTGGCAACACAGTGTCAGACAGTATTTAATAGTAAGTCAGCCGATGTTTTAAATGCCCTTGATGTAAATCCAACAGCTGCTCAAGGAGAATGTTTGGCTTTTGACCACAGAGAAACTTAAAAGTGTAAAACGCACTCTTGGTTAATGAATGCATTTCAAGGGCTGGGGAAGAAATTAAGATTTTGGAAATAACCTCGAGTCCAATTCAGACCTGCTATAAGCAGCCAAGAGCCTGCCTCTGATGAAAAATATTCCAGTGTTTCAGATGGGCTGTTCTTGGCATGGGAGTCTTCTCCAGCGTGCCACGGTGAGTTCTGAATTATGGGTGTTTGTCCATCAGTTCTCCGTTAAAGACCATTGGCAGCCCAATTTTCTCACAAGGGCCTGGGTCTGAACTCCAGACTCTACTCGTTTCAACAAACCTCTGTTAACGCCACTAGATTGTAAAGATGGAATCTGAAAGTTTCAGCGGGCAGTTGATCAACTGCAAAGAATCTCCATTCACTGGCGAGCTGTTTTTCTCCTGAAACAGCAGCCTAATTGGCCAACCATCAAGGTTTCTAGGACGTTCCTCATTTCTTTCCTGAGCTCTTGTTCCACTTTTGCCTCATCCCTTCCGGCTTGTGCTTTCTTCTCTCCTACAAAACCTTTCAGAGTTGTTCCAGGCATCGGCAAGCCCAAACTCTTGGCAATGTATCTTTTTTTTTTTCATATGGGAAAGAGCACCACACAGAGAGGTCTTCAGCCAAGACTATTTATTAAAACTTCCTGGAACACCGAGCAACATTTTATTTCAAAGAAACATAATGATCTGACAGAAACAGGCTCAGGATTGTCCTAGGCCAGAATTTGGAAGTGTTTTTTTTTTTTTTAAGACCTCAAATCCTAAAGTTGTCCAGGAATTCCCCAAGAAGAATCCTGGGAGTTCCAGCCCACAAACACATACCTGAAGACCCCTTCATTTCAACTGCCTGGACAAGGCTGAAGCCTCGTTTAAGGCCTTCTTCTAAGTCCAATTCCCGTTGCAATGCTTCTGGGAGCAGTAATCTCGTTGCTGAAATACCAGCCCCCTACCACACCCCTACCAGAAACAGACATTAGAGATAGTCTATGACTGGAAAAGAAAATTCTTAACAAATGCAAGCATCTGTGTGGCACAACATGAGCTCCTCTCACCTCTGAGATTATGCAAATCAGTTTGTTCTGTTTAGTGACTGGTCTCCAGTCGAGATGGACACGAACCTTGGTTCGGATGTTCATGCCCGTTCATATGTGGGGCAACCTTCCCCCTAACTCCCTGGCCAATGACCCACTGCACCAGTAGGGGCATGCTCCTCTCCTCCTCTTTGGTTGCATTCTAAACCATAAAAGTTACATAAAGCATCTGGTCTTGGGCGTTTACTCTAGTCTTCACACTCACCCATGATCCATCACATCCTAGCTGTCAGGCCACACCTCCCCCACTTTCCCTGCTCCATTCTTTATTTCAGAATCTGAACCTCAGCAGAAGTGTTAAAACTGTCAAGAGGACATATTGAAATCAGTAGGGTGATACAGTTCCCACTAAACCTACTTCCTGCTTCCTAGAAACCACTTCAGTTCCTGGTCCTGGAGAGCAGCAGTGATATGGGGCCCTCCAGACTACAGCTCCCATCAGCCCTGGTCATGTGATCTGGATCAGGCCAGGCTGTGGGAAGACTTTATTCTTCTGCCCTACACGCTCCTGTTGAAATCTTCTCCCTTCTCCAAAGGTGCTGTTGTGATAAATATTTCTGGCAGCCAAAGACACACTATTTCTCTATCTGTCCCACCATCAACAGTACTAATGTTTTTTTGAAAAAGTTTGCAAAAGACCAAACAGCTGTTCTTGCCTCCTCACCATCATATCAATGGGTGCAACTGCACTGGAAAGCTAAATTGGAGCGATTCCGCTCTGCTTTGATTCACAGCCTGTATAACATTTGAAATCATAGTCAAAGCTCATACAGGGGCTGCAGATTGATTTGGGAATTCACCATTCATACTGGATGCTGTGCGAGTCACATTCCAGCCTACATCCCCCTTCTTTCCTTCCTTTCTCTGGTCCCATCTCTGATGATCTTTTTATGGGGTGTAAATATAGGAAATAACAACAGCAACAACAATAAGAAAGGATGCCAGAGTTGAAAATAAAGAATTGGAAATAAAGAATTACATTATACTAGTCAATGTTTTTAATTTTGACTGTGCCTGGTGTTTTTAACAACAACAACAACAACAACAACAACAAAAATAAATAATAATTAATAAAAAAGGCTATGCCAGAGTTGAAAATGAAGAATTGGAAAAACTAACAAAGTACAGAGACCTGGCAATTGAAACATCTTGCTTGTGGATGAAATGCACTTCAGTGGTCCCCGTGGTCATTGGGGCTTTGGGAACAATATCAAGAAATTTCATACAAAACTATAAGCAGTTGCAGATCTTAGAAATCACACCACCACCAGAGCTACCAAAAAAAGCAATATTAGGAACAGCATTCATACTGTGCCGATATTTAACAGATACTTAGGTTTTTAGTTAAAACATAATTATATAATACCAGACCATGTTATATAATACAGTTTTGATTGACTGTGCCTGGTGTTTAATAATAATAATAATAATAATAATAATAATAATAATAATAATAATAATAATAATAATAATAATAATAATGGCTCACCATTAAGGTGATAAGGTAATCTAGCACTAATCTCATATATGCAATTAATTAAAAATATTTAAAGATGGAGGATGATTGGGGGAGAGTCCTGAACATCATGCACCAACTGCCTTAAAGTTCTATGTCACAATTTGCTTACCATTGATGAATCTTCCAAATAAAATTTCACAAAATAAGTCTCTTCTTATTTACATCCATGTAACAGACACCATGAAAAATGTTAGCAACAACAAGATGCTACCATTTGTGCACCCAAGTCCTTGGCAACAGCAGCTCCAGCCTCTCTTGCTCTCTCTTACTCACAGGGCTGCTCTTGCTTAGTCCTACCTCTTTAGGCTGACCCTGTTAAGTTTAAAAGGCTGAACCAGTTTTTCAGAGAGGTTACACCTACACCACTGACATGCCAACTGATCTTTACAAAAATGTATCACAACTACCCACTACGTACATGGAAAAACCCGTTTGAATTGATCCAGTTTTTAAAAAGTAGAAACCCGACTCCTAGCAGCAGAGGTGTGTGTGTGGGGAGAAAGCCCATCTGGGAGCAAAAAGGGATGGATTGATTCATATCAGCCTTTGTGCCATCTGATTAATAAAAATACTTTGAATTCACCTGTTTCATAAGCCAAGCCAATCTCATAGCATTTGGCTATGTAGTTGCAGCCTGACTTGGCCTTAAGTGACAGCCTTATTTATCTCTATTGTCACGTCTCCTGCCTCGGTGGTTTAAAGTACTGTACAGTTACTCCATTGAACCGGATCAAGGTCACCCGTTCCCATCGATCTTCTCCTTGGATCTTGCACCAACAGCTCTTGTTCTTACACTGTGAGGTGTTTGGTTTTTTGTTTTTTTTTGTTTTTGAGAGAGAGAGTGACACGTAAGCAGTGCCAATTAGGGATCTGAGCATAACATAGACACGGTGGCAGGTTTGTGATAAAGATTTTTAGCTCCTGTGCCAAGGTGTTCAGCTTGATTCCCCCCCCCCTTCTGCAGAACAAAAGTGACCCTGTTAAGTTTAAAAGGCTGCTAGAAAGCTGCTCAGTAAGTTCCGTTGCTACATTTAGAAAAGGACACAATTGTTTGACGTGCTTGGTCCCTTATGTGGCATCTTCCTTTCCCTAATTAAATTGTTGTATAGTGCCGATTTTAAAAGCCCAGTGCTGCAGTCTCCAGCACACAACAACAACCGGGATGTACAGACCGAAGTGATCAGCAAGACTTACCTCCATCTAAAAGTGGAGAACATGGAGAGTAAAACCCCCTGGTAGCTGAGTAATACATGAAATCTGAGAAAAGTAGTTGGTACTAGAGATGATCATGGATCAGAAAAACAGTGATTCGTTTTGATTCATGATTTATCAAGATGACAAATCATGAATTACAAATGTATGATTTTTTTCTGACAAATTGATGAATCTATTTGTCAATTTTTTTTTACTTTAAAACCATATAACATGCCCCCCACCAGGCACCTAGAGACATCGCATTCACAGAGAAGTCCTCTGATTCGCCTCTACAATCCCTCCAGGTTTGGTGAAGATTGGATTTCATGCATCCAAGTTATACACCCTCAAAGTGGGTCCCCTGAGGAGAGCGGCCTTTAGCTATGGGCCAGTCACATTCTCTTAGCCTGACCTCCTCACACAGTTGCTATGAGGATAAAATAGGGACAAAGAGATCCATATATACTACCTTAATCTCACTGGAGATAGGCAAGATATAATTCAAAGACATATACTGTACAAAGTCAAAGTCAGAGAAAGAGAGATTAGTAAATTAAGTATCTGGCTGCAGAGCCAGACGCTGGGAGTTTGACTCTCCAGTGTGCCTCCCATGAGAAGAGCCAGCCTGTGTAGTCTAAAGCAAGCTTCACAGTCCCAGAACAACCCCAGAAGAAGGGAAAGGTAAACTATGTTTGAAAACTCTATACCTAGAAAACCCTAATGAGTGCCACCATACGTCAAAACTGATTTGATGGCAGACAGTCAAGTCAATTGATACACAGATTAATGGATAGATGAGGGCTGCAGAACCTTTTGTTTTCCAGATGTTTTGGCCTGCTACCTCCAACCAGCCTCATTTGTCATGGTCAATGGTACAAGACTGCATGAGTTATTGTCCAGTCAGTGGCTGCGTACCTGTCTTCCTTGACTGATTCTTACTTACATTTACACCCAGCTTGTAAAT